GTTTACACTCGTGAAGCACATGTCCAAACAGCAACAGGACATTTGCCTTTCATGGGCCCTACTATTAGTCAACAGAGCACAAATCAAAACTTGCAGTAAACAGTTACCTCTGGGTGCTAGCAAAGAACTATTGCTATTTCAAAAAATGTATTAACACCTCTAACAGTAGGGGTAGTCAAGGGAAGGATGCTAATTTCATTGCTAGAGGAGGAGAGTTAGTATGAAAAATTGTTAGAAAATATTCTAAGCAATCATAAGCCTATATCTGATATATTTTTATATAATTCAATAGTCATATATTCTGAATTTATCCAATTATCATAATTCTAAAAGAAATTTATGAAAGTTATTTCCTACACTATAAATCCAAACTGAAGCACTAAATGGAATCCATATGTAAGAAGATAATTTCTACTATTGTCTTAATTACCCAAAAGGTTTAGCATAAATACCATAGTGATACTGTTATCTACAATCAAAAGTTTTCACATTGAAGCACATCTGATATTTTTCCATCTGGTCAGGGTATTGTAAGATAATTTTTATAGAATAAAGAGATTTGACCTTATATGCCATCTACTTTCAATCATCCTTAAAATAACCTTGAGACAAAATATATGTTTATCATTTTAAAAATCACAAAAGTTTTCAACCACATTAAAGTTTGTGTAATTAAATGGTATAAAAAGAATCAAATATTGGCATAACAATAGAGACAATAAAATGTTATATAGTCGCTTCCTTATTTTATATTCATTCAATACTATGAATACTGATTGTATAATTAATTTTTTTATAAGCATACTTGCATGAACATAAAATTCACCCTATGGCTAAATCATGTCATTTAATTATAGTTCTTTACAAATTTTCTCAGGTTGTTTATTAAAATTTTTATTTTACATGAAGATGCTCATTTTATCAATGACTTATATACAATTAATTTAGAGAAGGGGCCTTTTTTGTCAATCATCTGAAAATATAAAGCTGTAAAAGTGGAGGAAATGAGAGATCATAAAGAAGACTATTAATTCTTGCTTGATTTGTGCCCTGTGTTTGCACAAGAGTATCCTAGTTTCTTTCTATGCTGCCTTCCTCAAGAAACTGAGTGTGAATGTTGGACTAGAAGTTCTGTATGATTCTTCTCTTGCTGTGAATTTCTCTATTGCTTCAGTCTTGTTAAAAATCTTTTTATTAACAAGCCATTGTTAATCTTTCATTCATAATATCAGTCTATTCTATTGTATGCCTCTATAGTTGCAATGAAACAAATCAAAGAAGCAAATGATAGTATAAAGACGTACATGGGAAATAATAAAACAGAGCAACAAAAAAATCAGGGTAAGACATGGTTTCCTGAGGCTTCTTTGATAGATTACAGTTAAATGCTTACTTGAACACAGGAACATTGGGAGAACTTTAAGTGGGTATAGCTAGAGTCTAGTTATCATCAGGTAAGTGCACCTCCTATAGTTGATTATCAATTGAAACAAATGAAGCAGATTCTATAACCAGGTGGATTATTATGCAAAACATAAAATATGTGAAAAACGATAGCATGCACTGTGAATGGAGAGGCAAATAAAGATGAAAAGTTTTGGTCCATTCTATAGACAAGGAAGCATTCCGGACAAGTCTGACTCAGGTCCAATGCCAAGGAATTATATTACCGAATTCAAGGGTAATCACCAGGAATCAAGAATGTATCTGAAAACATGAAAATCACTGATCCTCTCTATAATATTTAAATACGCTGTGTCCATTGAGAATTTTATCAGAAAATATAATTTTCAACACTGTACTTCTAAAAGTAAAATACTAAGATTTAATGTTTTAGAGTTAAAAATTCAAATAATGAACAAATGAACCATTTGTTAATGAAATGAATCAAGGGCTAGTAGGAAGGGCATTCCAAAAAAGCTGTACATTCAAGCCAGGTGTGGAGGTATGTACCAGGAATTCCAGCTCTTTGGAAGCCAAAGCAGGAGGATGGTGGGTTCAGGGCCAGCTCAGGATATACAGTTATAGTCTGTCTCAACAGATTAGTCAAGTAATGAAGCAAAATAAATTTCTATATCCAGGCATTATAGCTTAGATTTATAAGGACTGAATGAAATGTACTTAGCTGTTTTGTGCTTTTTTATTTTTTCTTTTCCTAAAACTTGAAGAGCCCTCACTAGAAAGAAGTATTCTCATCAAAGATGCTATTGGAGCAGAACTACAGAACACATTCTAACAAAAAAAAATAAATATTGAAAAACTCACGAATACACAAATACGTTAGTATATGATGTGAGGAATGGCTTATTTTTCATTCTAGAGAAGGCATTTCACTTAATTTTGGGAAATAAAAGCAATGCTAGTTTCCTAAGTGAAAATGGCTTTATTTCACTCGTAAGTAAAAAATTGGTTTTTATAAATATTTTCTATCCAACAAAAAAGGTAGAGAGAGAACATAAGATTTAAAAATAATTTTGTTTTTACTTTATTATTGGTTCTATTATAATTAACAAATAGAATTCATCTAAAATGTTGATATAAACCAAATGGCATTGAGAAATAAATGCAATATATTTGCCAAAGTTTTATGCTATATGCTTTCTAACTATAATAAACACAGTGAGACTATCCTTCACATGTAGTTCTGATCTTGCTTCGACAATGAGGACACTTCCACGTCTGTTATTCTTATGTGGGTGTTTTGATAATCACAGTTGAGTGATTGAAAGCACTGCTATTAAGTATAGATAGGAAAAGGAGACACATAAAAGCAATTCACAGGAAACACTGAAGACACTAGGAAGTTCCCTGCACCCAGCTCGCAATTTTATTCTTGTCTTTTCCCTTTTGAAAAATGTATGTAAATGCACAGCTATCTGTGCATATATGTTAGTATCCGTGTGTGCATGGGTTTGTGCATGTGTACATGTGTTGGCGTGGTTGGGGATTGGGCAGTGGTTGACATCCAGTGTCTTCTTCAGGCTCTGTCCAGTTAATATTTTTGAGCCAGAGTTCCTTACTGTCTGGCTAATGAGTCTCAATGATTATCTTGTCTCTTCCATTTCAGGGATGGCACATTCCACCATGCCTTGCTTATATATGAGTTCTGGGGGATCAAGTTCAGATCCTTATGCTTACATCACAAGAGTTTACCCAGGAGCCAACTTTCCAGTGCTCTTTTTCTTTCTCCAGTAAGAAAACAAACAGAAATCAACTGATAGGCAGTCAAAATAATTACATGAACAACATTGCTCCAGCCTCAATTTAATAATGAACAAAATACCAAACCTTTCAAACTTTTGGACTTTATCATCAGGAATGACTTAGCATACATCTGATAGAAAGTAACACAATAAATACTTCATTTCAAAATCACTTTAATACCAAAACATGGTACATGTACTCTTATTGGCCAAAGAAATCGAGCTATATTCAAGTGAGTTACTTTCTTTCAAGTTGGTATTTGTGTTCTTCAATATAGACAATTGTCCTGCATTTTAAGCAGCACAAAAGATTCTCAACATTTCTTATTTTGTTTTTTTTCAGAACTTAGATTATGTAATATTCTTATATAATTACTATTCAAAGGCAAGTATGGACTGAAGGCATTTTTTTAACGTCATTGGTGTGAATAGAGAAGCAAACAGAAATGCTGTGCTAAAATCTCTCCTACGAGTCCACATACTTATTCAGATCCAGTTTTTACACATTTTACCAAAGTCGAGTCTAAGTAGCTATACATTAAGTGACAATAACACTGGTTCCTTATAATAGACATTCAAAATTCTTTTTTTAGAGACAACCTTTCAATTTTTGACAAAATATGTATGAGGCTATAATTTTTTATACAGGCATGTATAAGGAGGCTAATTAGTTGCTTTGTCTTATTAATGTATAACAAATACAGCCTTGGGAAAACAAAACGGGCAAAGGTAAGTTTTTAAACAGACCAGACAAACAAGAAATCAGCTTCAGTTTCTACTGACTAAGAAATTCTTCACTTTCGTAATAAATTACTGTGAAGACTCATAAAGAAGAGAATTTCTACATTCACTCAAAGTGAAGAAAATCCATGAAATATCAGTATAGTCACATATTCTATGGATAAGCATGCAACAGAGTAAGTCTGTATTTCTGCTATAAGCTAAATGCTAACAAAATGTCACTTATGAACAGTACCAGAATGTGCCACCCCCAAGCATGCCACTCTGACACAAGGATTACTTTCAGCTAAGGGTACTTCAAAAAAACAGCAGCCACAAGCCAGCTGGGCATACTACTCCTCTCTGTCTTGAACAAAGGAGATTAACGCTCCAGGTGAAAACTGTCCTCCCTGGAGCTGAAGTCAAGAAACATTCTTCAGTGGAGAATCATAGCTGAGAACATTCAGCAGTCTTGTTAAAATAATTCTGATCTTCCTTCAGCCTCTACATAATTTAGTTACTTGTTCAAAATTCCTTGTGCAAACTAATACAAACATGGGTAAGTTTCACCATTTTAAAGGCCTCTGCTTCGTTTGTGAGGGCTTCTTTGACACCGAAAACATATTATATGTGTATGTATCATTCTCTGGTAATCTGTTTTACATCAATTTCATTGTAAGACTAAGATGGGACCACAAAAGGGAAAGAAGGAAACCCAGCTCTCCCACACTTACTACTGTGATTTCTCATACTGTTGTATGAATACAACATTTACAAAATTAGTGCCTGTATGTCTTCTTACATATTTTACGGGTAAAATATTAACTGAAAACACAGGTAGATGGCATTTCTGTGAAGGAAATGAAGATCTTCCAAGCAGAAAGTCAGTCAACACACACACACACACACACACACACACACAAATTTGACAGCCTAAAAGAATTTTCCACCCTAAAGTGTTCCATTACCAAGTCTCTGAATGTTCTGGGTTGAAAGAACAGAGCAAAGTATTGGGTTACACTTGCTCCCACCTTCAAAATGCAATTTTTTTCAGAAACAAGGCTTAGATTGACTCACCGGTCCAAAAGAATTACTGTCAAAACTGTGTCCATGGTGATCTCCTTCAACCCACATGTGACCACGGGGGACTTTGACCAACCGGTTTTTGTGTCCAATTGTTCTGAAAAGAAACAGTGAGAGCAATGAGGTGAGAGTAGGAAGGGGACTTTACACTTTGCAGACAGAATCAGGAAGGAAAGAACAGCTATTAGGCAGATGAGAGGGTCTAACTCTGACAGTGTTTGAAATAAACCACAGGAAGAGATAAGATGAACACTCAGTGCTGATTGACTTTAGACAACCTGGAACAGACTTCTGGGAGTCTAATAACAGGCAATTCATTCCCAATGTATTTATGCCCAGTATACTTTGAAAATAAGCTTCCCTGTGTAATAGGATCTTTGTTGCACAAGGAAGCATAATTGCATTGAAACTCAATTTGGATAAATGTCTTTTCTTCCAAGAAGACAAGCTCTAGACATAGGTTACCTTTACTAGCTTAAGGGTCTAAGGGTCTGTCCTGATCTCTATAGATAGAATTAAAGATACCTGGGCTATGAACTACTCCTAGTCCTGGTTGTGGGAGTTACGGGGAGTTTCTGGCTTTAAGGGTCGTTTACATTACTAGCCATCTCTGGTCCTGGTTGTAGAAGCTTGATAAGGCCTGGCCCAACAGATAAAGTAGAAAGCAAAAACAGACCGTTAATCACTAAAATTTTAATTTTCTGGATGGAAGAACAGGTTTTTCTATCTATTCCATTGGAAAGACAATCCTGTGTTTTTAACATTCTTGGTTTCACTGGAGATCTGTGGGCCCAAAGACCTTCATGCTACGCTTCCAACAATCCCAAAATTACACAGTAAGTTCCTCTCAAGTAAGATATGGTTCATTTTCTAAACTGCCCATGGAAACCTTGCCTAATAAGTGTAGCTTTGGAAAAACAAAATGAACAAGGTTAAGTTTTTAATCAGGCCAAACAAGCTATCAGCTACAGTTTCCATTAAAAAGAAATTCTTCACTTTAATAGTGAGTTACTGTGAAGATTCATAAATAGAGAATTTCTGTGTACTCAAAGTGAACAAAATCAATAAAATTACAGTGTAGTCACATATTCTATAAATATGAGTGCAATATAGTTTCTCCTTTGTATAAGAAAAAAAACTCGCTTAAAGAAAAGGCACAAACACCAAATATAGTGTTTTGCTTCCTAATTCACACTATCCCTAATAAATACTTTAAGAAATCAACATACCTCAATTCAATGTCCATTTGTCTTCTTACACTTGCATTTATGCTAGTGATCAACTGTTTCAATTTAATCATGGAAATTAAGATTCAAAACTGGGAGCTGGAGGGATGGTTCAGAGAGTTAAGAAGAGCCCTGGCTGCTCTTCAGATGACAGAAGTTCAAGCCTCAGCACCTACATGATGGCTCACAACTGTAACTTCAGTTCTAGAGGATCTCCTTCTGGCCTTCATGTGGACCAGGCACACATGTTGGTGTACAGTTAGGTATACATGAAGACAAAACATGCATACATATTAAAACAATAAACAAACAAATCCATAAATATTTGAAAACCCAGCATTAGTAGGAAGGAAAGGAATCTTGATGACCTTTGGAATCTATAGAATCAGTGTTAGTTGAAAACTGACCAGTATTACATTTTTCTTAAAAAGGAACTTTTGATCGATTATGAAAAGGTGTCATTGACAGATGACATACAACAGATATGCATATTCTTTTTAAATAAAAGATTTATTATGTATCTCTCTCTCCATATATATATATATATTTTTATATATTTATATATATATATATATATACATATATGTAGTCACTATTTTCAAACACACAGGAAGAAGGCATCAGATTCCACTACAGATGGTTGTGAGCCACCATGTGTTTACTGGGAATTGAACTCAGGACCTCTGGAGGAGCAGTCAGTGCTTTTAACCACTAAGCCATTTCTCCAGCCTTCTTAACACAGGAAAGAAAGCTGGACAATCGTTCTCACGCTGTCAGTGGCCAATAGAAATGATTCAAACTTTTTGTTTCCATTACTTTTTGTGATCTACTTTGGGAATGTTTTAAGAGACTAAAATATTCATGTCTATTGTCCCTATTCTATTTGTAAAAATTGATTGCTAAAAATTACTAAAAATATAAACAGATATTTGCTATAAGGGATGCCCAACCCTCGCTTTTTATAGATCTTACTTCCATAATGCATTCTACCCAAATATCTAGAAACAAACATTAGTAGATAAATTATGAAACAGTCAACCAAATAAAAGACAGAATTAAAATAAAATATGATTTAAACCCCACAAAAATAATTATTATTTTGGGAACACATAGCTTTATATTTCCTTTATTTCCTAAAGCACCCTGGAAAAGACTAACTTAAACATGCTTCTCAATAAAGGTTTTCAGAATGAATGAGTGAAAGAATGAATGAAATTCAACCTGAGAGCCAAAGCTTTCAGAAACTGAGCTTAGCACAGTGTTATTGGGTACGGAATCTCTCAGAGGCTAGTCGGTTAGTTAGCAAGCTGTGTATGTACAGAAGAACGCATTAAAAAGGGAAAGTACACATAAATTGGTGCTATAGAAATTGAAACTATTCATTATCTTGGATGGTTTTTAATTTTCAAGATAATTTCTGTGTTGAATTGCTTTGCTTTAGATCAGTAAGTTATCCATGCAAGGAAGCAATAGTGTAGCCATTAGGGCCCCACAGTAAGTTAAGGGTTACTGTTTGTTTTTAATTACTATAGGGAAGGAGACTTTCAGATTTTTAGAGAAAAGCAAAAACAAATTTAACACATCTTACCCTCATACACTTTGTAATATAAGTGTTCTTCAATTAAAACCATTCCATTAGTTCTTAACATCACTGCTTTGTAAGCTAGTGTCTAATGACTAATACTCCCATCAAATGATAGTAATGAGGAAGAAAACTCTTATAGTTTACTGCTGCAAAGGTATCATCACCTTCTATATCTCAACATCTGTTCACCATATTAAGCTAAGCATTTAGGACAAATTCTTAGAAGGAAAACAGTTGAAAATTGCTTTCGCATGAAATAACTATTTAACAATCACAGAAGTGTATGCGTATGAGAAAACATACTATATATTACATTGGATTAATAGTACCTAAAATTTCAGGCATTTGCTTTAGGTCTTGGTGTGTGTTTCCTATGGATTAGTGGTGTGTGTGTTTGCTTTCTGGGCTACCTCACTGGAGCAAAGAGGTGAAGGGTCTTCTGAATGAAATAGTCTTATACTGATGTCTAAATGGCCTAGCTTGGATCTTCTTGTTCCATCTACTCCTTGTAACTTATAGTTGTTTTCTTTTTAATTAGGAAAGTGTCCAAGGAAGGAATCAAAATGAGTCTCAAGTCTGCAGGACCTTCAATTGCTTAGTAGTGACTGCCTATTGGGTAGAGGATTCTTCAGACACCAAGAGGTAAGCTGGGACACAACTTGCCAAGTTTTGGAAAGAGATAGGCTTGTCACAGAAATCATAATAAAGTCTTCTGGTCATTCACAATATCAAGAAGAGCCATGACTGTGAAGGTGCTTTGAGATCCAAACGCATGAACTATTGGTTCAGTTAAAATATTATAAAGTAAATCTAACACAAAATTATATCAGCAATGCAACAGTAGGCCAAATATATTCTTTTAGAAGCTAAGATGACATAAAAGTCATATTGAAATTTAGGTGCTATAAGATTCAAGATTCTTGTGAGAAAATTATAGTGCCATCAAGGTACCAGTAAAGGCAGCCAGGTTCTTTGTGGTGACCATCTTATGTAAGGCACTTAAGCACATGCCTAGCCAATTATTTCTTAGCCATTTACAATGCTTTATTTTTCTTTTTTATGCACACTAGCTTTTGACTTGGGCTCATTGATTTATTTATTTACTGTCTATCTCTCCACGTTAGAATGTGACCTATGGAAATATGTCTTTCTTATAGAATATTCCTAGAGCACAAATGGCTCAACAAATATTTGTTAAATAAATAACAAATGAATTTAATACTGATGAAAAATAATGCCCTAAAGGCAGACTATAACTATAGAAAGCATTCTGATTCTTGAACAGGTTATGGAAATTTCAACCTTAATTCTATGATTTGCGAGCAAGCTTGTAAGTTACAGTTATTTGCCATCTTTACAATAGGGTGGGCCTATTAACATCCACCTTAACTGGGTTTGGATGAGGATTAGAAAAGAGTTGTAAATAGTGTGGGGGGACATTATTATTCAGATTAATCTGGGGAATTAGCTTATCTTGGTTTGGTGTATTTATTTGACACTATCAAGTAGATATGATTTGGAACAACTTGATAAAACTCAAAGGGGCAGTTTCTCATTTATAACACTAGGCAAAAGAGGAGAGAAAAAGAGGGAGAACTTAACACTGAGGTTTTTGAGCACACAAATGTACCATATACTAAACACCATGTAAATGCATCATCTTCAACTTGAGGCTTTTTCATTAAAGCAATGGATATGGTTCTGATTACATTTAGAATATAAATAAGTGGTGGTGATTATTGCAAGACTTCCTTTGTCCATTATTTTCCTTCATTTTATAATTCCGAATGTGCTGAAGCTCACTACTGATTAATATCACTCTCTTCAAATTACTGGTGATATGCCTAAATAATTTTTTCTCACAGTTGGGCTGTGCATATTACTATTTTTAATGGTACAATGACGTGTTGTTTTTCCCTTCAAGAGAACTTTAAAACTCATATGTGAAGGGATAATCTATCTGTTTGTACATATTCAAATATACAGAGAGTATCAGGTAAAGGAAAGATCAATTTGTGGATACTACTGTATTGTGTATTTCAATGCTGCTATGCTATACAGTGTCTTACACAGAAAATGGTCAGGACTAGGAGAAATATTGTAAGTAGAGAACTCTGGTAAACACACCATATGGACATATTCTATTTCCTAATCTCTTAGAGTGCATCCAACTTTTAAACTAGTAACCTAAAGTGGTTTTAAAATATGATGGTAAATTATTGGGCTACTTCCTTTTAGGGCTGCCAAGGAAATACAATATTGTTAATAGAATTTCTCTAGGGGAGG